TATCTCAATTATTAAATATAATCACATGGGCGCCTGGGTGGCTCAGTCAGTTAAGTGTCTGACTCTTGATTTCAGCTCAGGTCATGATCTCAGGGTCGTGGGATTGAGCCCTGTGACTGGCTCTGCGCTGGGGGTGGAGCCTGCTTGGGATTTTTCTCCCCTCCCCCCACCCCCCATTTCTCTCTTAAAAAAATAGAATCACACTAGAAGAGAACATCAGTTCATCAGGATCTTACACTTATTGCAGAAAAAGACAACTATCCAAGAAAATAATTTTTACTTTGCTAAGACTTTTTTTTTTTAAGCTGTTGTTTGCATTGTGTTTTGTTTTGTATACTGTTTAGAGGAGATCGCAGGGGGTGAGCATACATTCAGTCTAATAGCTTTCATGTTTTCCAGCTACAGTCATGGCAATGAAGTTTGATCTCTGGAATGATGTCTCTTAGACACTACAACCTCACAGCGATTCCTCAGAACAGGCTGTACCCATTTCCGACCCTCCATCTTTGCTTGTGCTGTTCCCATTCCAAACCCTTCCGCGTCTAGCGCCATCATTTGGGTCTTGCCTATGTTCCTCTCACATTTTCTGCCTCCTTTCACTCACCTCCTTCCTCTTCCTTCCCTTTCGCAACCTTACCTGCCCAGAGTCTGTCTCCCCTCCCTGAACCCTATAGGCCTGAAGTGTGAATCACTCATTAAGAGACAACAGCTGGGACATGGGCTCCCACTGAAAACTGTTTTGTGGGTGTCGTTCTTATGTTCCCTCCCTGCACAGTGAGCACTTGAATTTTCAGACGGGGTGACCTACTTTTTTGTTTCCTCATTTGAAGCTAGGGTAGTGCTTTGCATGTAGTAAAAAAATGAGCAATGATTATAATAACAGCTGAAACTTTTGGCAGGCTTACTGTGTGCCAGGTACTGTGCTGAGCAATATGCATTAATTAGGATTATTGCTATTTTGCAGATGAGAAAATAAAGACAGGGAGAGGGTAATAATTCGCCCAGATCACAGAGCTGACGACTGGTACAATGGAATTTTTCATCATATATTCCATTTGGTTCACTAGACTCTCTCTTTGAGAAGAAAATGGCTACGTGCATATTTTCACATATCTTTTGTTTTTAAAGATTTATTTATTTATTTTAGAGAGAGAGAGAGAGAGAGAGAGAGCATGCAACCGTGCATTGTGGGGAGGGGCAGAGGGGGAGAGAGAGAGAGAGAGAATCTCCAGCAGACTCCCCACTGAGCATGGAGTCCAACGCAGGACTCTGTACCACGACCCTGAGATCATGACCTGAGCCAAAATCAAGAGTCGGATGCTTAACCGACTGAGCCACCCAGGCACCCCCAAAATTGGTTGTTTTTTTATAAACAGAGAGAAAGCCATCTGCCTTTTCTGAGTGGTAGTCAGTCTGTGGACACACAGTATCATTGTAGTCTGGAAGTCTCACACATTAAAAAGCAAGACAAGATCAAAGCTTGAATATGGCCAACATCTCTGCTCATTTGAATTTAACATTTCCAAGGTATGCCTATTTTGGTGAATCTTTCAGTTTATTGGTATGGTTTAACTAACAAAATATAAAACTAGTTCATGGAGTATTCTTGTAATTTCGTATACCTGTATTTGGAAGTCTAGTTCTTTCTTTTTTGAAGCAAAAGGAACAAAAAACATTTTCCGCATTGAAAGCAAACTGGTGCAGCCCCTGTGGAAAACAGTATGGAGATTCCTCAAGAAGTTAAAAAATAGAACTACCATATATATGATCCAGTAATTGCACTACCGGGTATTTACCCAAAGAATACAAAAACACTTATTTGAAAGGATATATGCACCCCTATGTTTATTGCAGCATTATTTACAATAGCCAGATTACAGAAGCAACTTAAGTGTCCATTGGTAATGAAGAGATAAAGAAGATGTGGGGTGTGTGTGTGTGTGTGTGTGTGTATACAGTGGAGTATTATTCAGCCATAAAATATAATGAAATCTTGCTATCTGTGACAACATGGATGGAACCAGAGGATGCTAAGTGAAATAAGTCAGCCAGAGAAAGACAAATACTATAGGATTTCACTCATATGTGGAATTTAAGAAACAAAACGGAACAAATGGAAAAAGAAGAGACAAACCAAAAAACAGACTCTTAACTATAGAGAACATACAGGTGGTCACTAGAGAGGAGGTGGGGGCATGGGTGAAACAGGTGATGGGGATTGAGAGTACACTTACCATACTGGAGGGTGTTATGCTGAGTGAAATAAGTCAATCAGAGAAAGACATGTATCATATGACCTCACTGATATGAGGAATTCTTAATCTCAGGAAACAAACTGAGGGTTACTGGAGTGGTTGGGGGGTGGGAGGGATGGGGTGGCTGGGTGATAGACATTGGGGAGGGTATGTGCTATGGTGAGCGCTGTGAATTGTATAAGACTGATGAATCACGGATCTGTACTTCTGAAACAAATAATGCAACATATGTTAAGAAAAAAGAAAAAGAAGAAGATAGCAGGAGGGGAAGAATGAAGGGGAGTAAGTCGGAGGGGGAGACGAACCATGAGAGACGATGGACTCTGAAAAACAAACTGAGGGTTCTAGAGGGGAGGGGGTGGGGGGATGGGTTAGCCTGGTGATGGGTATTAAAGAGGGCACGTTCTGCGTGGAGCACTGGGTGTTATGCACAAACAATGAATCATGGAACACTACATCAGAAACTAATGATGTACTGTATGGTGATTAACATAACAATAAAAATTATTTTAAAAAAAAGTACACTTACCATGATGAGCACTGAGTAATGTACAGAATTGTTGAATCACTGTATTGTACACCTGAAACTAATATAACAATTATACTGGAATTAAAAATAAATATAAATAAATAATTTTGAAATTGAAAGCAAAAAAACCCATTCCCCCCCCCACATTATCTTATGATACATTTTGGCATTTGTTAATGTCATGTATGCCAGTAGCTACTCCAGTATATCCCCTCTGTTCCACTGATAAGTATTGCCCTTTTGAGCCAGCATTAGTCTTAACAATTAGTGTTCTGTAGTTCGTGGTCAGTTGAGTAAATAAATAATAAATAAAGAAATATGTGGTCAGTTGAATCTCTTACATACTTATTAGACTATTCTTTTGTTTTCTTGCTTATTTTTCCATTTTAATTGAAATTGTGCTAAAATCAGAAAATTTGGAGCAAATGGTCATATGTACATATATGCTGTCCTCCCATCCAAGAGCATATCTGGAGTGACTCATTTTGCAAATAACACTTAAATCTCTTTTTAATTAAAAAAAATTTTTTTTAAAGATTTTATTTATTTGAGAGAGAGAGAAAGCACATGGGGGGGGAGGGTCAGAGGGAGAAGCAGACTCCCTGCTGAGCAGGGAGCCCGATGCGGGACTCGATCCAGGGCCTCCAGGATCATGACCTGAGCTGAAGGCAGTCACTTAACCAACTGAGCCACCCAGGGGCCCTAATTAAAAATTTTTTTTAATTTTTATTTTATTTTTTTAAATTAACATATAGTGTATTATTTGTTTCAGGGAAATAACACCTAAATTTTAACGTTTTCTGTCAGCATTGCTTAAATCTCTCAGTGGCCCCTAATCTCTCTTTAGCAACAGGGTCCAATTCTCTTTGTAGCCCTCAGTAGCTAAGTGAATGTTGTGCAGAAGCTTCTCTTTACACTGACCTAGTTTTGCTCGGACCTTAACCTTCTTTCTCTGAGGCCAGTAATGTGTAGGAGGCCTGATCTGGGTCCCTTTCTTTTTAACATCCAGAACATAGAAGACAGTTTTCTGGAAATCAGTTGCTTCCATTTGGTAGAGTCTGTATCACTCCATCCACTCCTGCTCACCCATTTTTGTCCTTCTACCAGCATCTGTAAAACACTTGGGGATCAAGAGATGTTCGGAAAAGGTAAAAACTGCGGCGCCTGGGTGGCTCAGTCGGTTAAGCATCTGACTTTGTTTCAGGTCATGATCTCAGGGTCCTGGGATGGAGCTCATCGGGGAGCCTGCATCTCCCTCTCCCTGTTCCACTCCCCCCACTCATGCTCTCTCTGTCTCTCTCAATTAAATAAATGTTAAGTCTTCAAAAAAAAAAAAAAAAAACCACTGCGGTGATGTTATCACAGGTCTATGCATGTGTCCAAACTCATGGAAATGTATGCATTAAATATGTGCATTTTTATGATTAAGTATACTTTAATGAGGCTGAAAGAAAGAAAACAGAGTTTTTGGTAAATTGGTAAATTTGGTAAGCTTTGGTGAATTAAGTCATATGGTAATTCGATCCTTCAAAGAATGGCCCACTTGTTCACTTGGTCATTCTGTGACTTGGCTTTTGGTGACATGGCTCTTGATGAACTGACTTGGAGCCAAATCCATGACTTCTAATACCAAGCAAATGAGGCAGCGTTTTTATCCGCGGATAGATCCTCTTTAGAACTTCCCCATGGAAACCAGTGCTTTATCATGAGAAGGAAAATTCTGGGATTTTATCGTCACACAATTGTGGGAACAAATCACTCTTGACTTTCCCTTTCCCTGGCCTTTTCTAGTTCCTTTCTCCCTTTTCCTTCCCAATATAACAGGCTAGAAGGGCAGAAGGGGTGGGAAGTGTCAGGGGTCTAGTGAGGGTTGGGGTCTGGGTGGTAATGGGGACGGCCACGGCAGGGCCTTTGTGTGTAGCACCCTGCTCCTCCCAATGCCTGATATTTGCTGGGAGAGGCAGTTGCTGCAGAAGCCACAGACGTCTTTCCGCATGCGTTCCCCAGAGTTCCCAGAAGGAAAGTGTATGAGTGCTGCTATGGCAACCATTTTCAACCAGTGGGAAGTAAAGCTGAGACATTTCTGCCTGCTCGGGTTCCGTCAAGGAGGGGGAAGTAGGAGACAGCTGAGAGAAGGAGAGTACAATCAGTCCTAGCAACTATCTGACCTCAATAAGAGGAGCAGCCTGTAGTATTCATACTCCGTTTCGTTCCAGCAGGACGTGAGCCGGCAGGGCTGTGCCGGGATGAAGAAGAATGATAAGCCTCGCCCCTGGTATGTATTGGGGGTCCTTATTTGCCAGTCACTGGGTTCAGGGCTCAGTATCTGTTAGGCCGTTTCCTTCTCACAACAGATATTTTCTTTTTTTAAATATTTTATTTATTCATTTGACAGAGAGAGAGACACAGTGAGAGAGGGAACACAAGCAGGGGGAGTGGGAGAAGGAGAAGCAGGCCTCCCGCTGAGCAGGGAGGCTGATGCGGGGCTCGATCCCAGGACCCAGAAATCATGACCTGAGCCGAAGGCAGACGCTTAACAACTGAGCCACCCAGGTGCCCCCAGATATTAATATTTTCATATTAGATTTCAGAAAACAGAGACGAAGAGCATTAATTTGCCCAAGACTCAAACCCAGAGCTTCTGTACTTTTTGCTCCGCTATTCCCAGATTCTGAGATCAGGGCCTCTGTTGTACACTTGATAGTTTCCTTTAAAGATATCTTTTACGGGGACACCTGTCTGGCTCAGTTGATAAAGCATGCAACTCTTGATCTCAGGGTGATGGGTTCAAGCCCCACGTTGGGTGAGGAGCCCACTGAAAAAAAAAGTCTATAAAAAAAACTTAAGAAAAATAAGGATATCTTTTATGAAGCATAGATGACAGAGATTATACTATAATGGTTATCAGCGCAGAATTGGGGCAATTTACATAGCACCTTTTTTTTTTCCAAATTTCCTTGCCTATAAAATGGAGATAACAATGATGCCTATTGAATAGGATCTTTATGAGGATGAAATCAAATAGTTCATTGAAAGATTAAGAACACCTGGCACATTATAGCCTTTCTCCTTAAGGTTTACATATTCCTGCTGTTAGGAGGAGGAGTATAAATGGTACTCTTTTAAATGGTCTTAATTGGTGAAATGAAAAGACCATGATCTGTGTCAGAATCCTGTTTTGTTATTTAGTCCATGAAATCTCCAAGGCTGGGAGCCCCTGCCCTTAACCCATGTGCTTTGTATGTGGAGTGGTTGATTTTTCGTGTTGAAACAACTGGTCTCCATCCCAACAAGCTAAGGAAAGTACTTTGCTAAGTGTTCTCTCTCTTCAGGAGGAACTGTTGAGCTTGCTGCCTGGAAGCCACCGCACACATCCAGGCCTGCCACACACAGGTTGTGCTGCTGAGCTGGCATAGAGAGGTAAGCACATGGGAGTGGGAAGGAAGGAGTGTGGAAGGCGGGGTGGCTTCGTGGGAAGAAGACCAACTGTGGACTCACAGGGTTGCAAACCACGGATCTGCCACAGACTGGCTTTGTGACTTCAGGCAGGTTGTTTCAGCTGCCTGAGCCTCATCTGAGCAATGTGATCATAATAGGGGTTGACAAGGCTGAAAATAAGATGAAATGAAGGAATTCGTATAGAGCACACAGAACAAGGCCAGGCTTGCTGTAGGTCTTCAGTAAACATTAGCTACCCCAATCATGATGATTAAGAGACTAACAACAATAGACAGAATAAAAAAGTAGGAGCATTGGAAAGAGCCCACATCTTCCCTGCAGCTGGGAAAATTTTCTCAGTACTCCAGGCACAGGTGTGGCTTGAGCTGTCGCTGTTAGAGTGAATGCCCAGACGCCAAGGCCTGGGCGGGACTCGTGAGGACACTGAGTGCTGAGCACGTAGGCTCCGGAGCTGAGAGACTGCTGTTGGGGATGGCAACCAGCCTCAGTTCTGCTCGCTTGTCCAAATCCCATAAAGCGCATCTGACCAGTTGCTGTGAACCTCGTAGTACCACAGCAGGTGCCAGACCGTAGCCTTGCCCTCTCCCTGTGTTCCCTGTGTACGTGTGTGGTGGAGGCGGCACGCGGTACCTCTGGAATGGGAGCCCGAAACACCCAGCCCCACAGCAAGGGCTTTCCTAAGGGGCAGAGCTCTGAGCTCCTTTGTGTCATGCTTTTGGGGCAAGGACAGCAGGGACCCCTGGAGAGAGTGAGTAGTCTGGCTCCTGGCGTGATCTTTCAGGCAAATACAAAGGATTTGTTGGGCAGGCATCATGGAAAGAGGCTGGTTTCTCCGCATCTCACTTGGTGCCCAGCCCGTGCACTGCATTCTCTGGAGGGAGGACCCCTGGTCAACCACGCTCTTACATGTAGCTGCCTTCCTAGCCCAGTGCCTATGGCAGAGGCCTTCCTCAGGCACCTCTGCTAACGCCTCCTATCTGAGGCAGTGGGGCACTTAAAGACACATTTTCTCCACTCAGTACTCAGTACTTTTCCAGTCTCAGCCCTTCCCGCGCCTCCTCCTGCCTGTGGGTCCATAAGATGGCAGGAGCCTTCTGTTCAGGGCTTCCTCCACGGTGAGACCATCCCTCGAGGCTGCGCTAATCCATTTGACCCTTGCTGGAGCCGGCCCATGGGAGGAAATGGAACAGTGGGGGGGTCGTCAGCACCTTCTCTGGTTCACCCTCTGGCTATACCATCAAAGGAAGTGATTAGAGCCTTGACTGTTAGTTTTACTTTGGCTTCTTGTTTTAATCGACTACTCTGAAACCTGGCGACTCAGCTTTCTGTAGCTCAGCTCAGCTCTTGAGAAAGAGGTGCAGGAAGCAGGGTAGTTGATGTGGAGGAAAATCTCAGGGGGCACTTCACCAATGGGGTACCAGCAAAGCGTGCTGGCAAGTCAGCTGCAAGAGGCAGGGGATCTCACGGGGCACTTCGCCAATGGGTGTCAGGAAGTGGCAGCAGAAGCCACGGGGCATTCTTGGAGGATGGCAGCGAATTGTTTTTTCCTTTTTTTTTTTTTTTTAAAGATTTAGTTATTTATTTGAGAGAAAGAGCGCACGAGCGGGAGGGGCAGAGGGACAGGGAGAATCTCCAGCAGACCCTGTGCTGAGCACGGATCCCAACGCGGGACTCTATCTCAAACCCTGAGATCATGACCTGAGCCGAAATCAAGAGTCAGCCACCCAGGCACCCCGCAAATTGTTTATATAAGCTTTTGCGTTCCAAGATGGACCACTGGTCCTTCTCTTTAGCTCCCAACACCCTGGCTGAAATCGTTGGGTGGGTCAAATTAGAAATCCAACAGCGAGGGACTGTAAGAAGGCCAGGGAAGCAATTTGCTCACTACTCTTTCCTGTTCTCTGATGACGGAACCAGAAGTTGTCAGAGACCAGGGAAACTGAGTTGCACCCAATGACTGTTCTTAGATCTAAGCCCATCCCTGGTGCCAGTGGACAGTCTGCTGGGCATTGTGTTATTGAGACTCATGCTTCTAATTAAAAAAAAACAAAAAAAAACGTAGAGCTCTTTGAGATTGCTATGTCCAGTGACTTGACAAGTTTGCCTCTGTGATGAAAGAGGGAATCGTGTTCAACTTCACAAGGGAAAGGGGCTCCGAGTGAGGTGCGTCACCATAGACCCCCCTCCTCCAGAGTGCCTTGACGGTAGCCACTTTGCCTGAGGAGGAGGAAGAAGGGAGAGATGAGAGGGCAGGATTATCAGAGACCCTCCTCCTCAGCTTTGGACTCTGACAGATTTGGCCCACACATGAGGAGGCAATGGAAAAACTTGTCTGGAGCGCCCTTACAGAAGCTACGGAGGCCCCGCGCGCAGCCTGGTAGTCTTTGGGGTCTACAGTGAGAGAGTGGGAGTGGGGTTTGATGAGGTGGTTCACCAGGCGAAGATTTTTAGGTTTGTTCATGCTGCTTCTGCTCGTTATCGAACCCAATTAAACCTCCACCCAATTAAGCTTCAGAATGAGGTTAGGTCAGTTGGTCAGCCACACAATCTGGATCTTCACTGAGAAATTTCTGGGCACTGAAAAAGTGGCTACTGCAAATAGAGCAAATTTGACTGACCAAAGAAACAATGTCAAAATGGCGATCAGGAGCCCTCTTGTGGACTTTCTGGGCAAGAGCTTTTTCCAAAGACAGCTCTGGGCCCAGTCACTCAATAACGGGTCCTCAAAGAAGGAGATTGATGTGCTCCCCACTAAGGAACTCTGGGCCAGTACCAGGTCATGGGGCACTTGATAGATGCTAGGGTCTGCATGGTGATGGCCCTCTGCCTCTCCTGGTGAATCGGGAGACAAATCCAAGAGTCCGAATGTCTTAGTGTCTTGGTCAGCTCAGGACAGAATGAGTGGCCTGCTATTGGCTTTGGTGGATACTGAGCACATGATCGATGGCTGTGAGGTAATCTTAAGACCAGAAATCCCAGTCATGTCACAGATCCAAGCAGATGTCTCAAATCACCTGGTGGAGGTGGTTCAAGAGTCTTCCATACTAAAATATAAATGGTACCTATAGGAATGAACAAAACTCAGCCCAGATGAGGTCTCATAACTCCAAGGAAAGATCTCAGGAATGTCTCTCTGGCTCCCTGGCATATTTCCCAAGGAGGCAGCCCAGTGAGGTCCCAGATAGAGAGGCTTCCTGGACCACAGATGGGCCTGTTCACTGTCAGCTCCTCCTGGTTAACTACTAACAAGCAGGGATGGGGTTCAGCTGCCATCCACTTCCCGGGTGTGGTAAGGGATGCTCAGTATAATGGGCAGAGCTTCGTGCAGGATGACTGGCTGGCTGTCCCGGCCACCTCAACAAAGAGGTTTGCTATATTTTTGCTGACTGGTGTACTGTGGCTAATGGCCTCGACATATTTTGGGGCCACTGGCAAGACTCAGATTGGCATGTAGAGCAAGCCTCCCTGTGGGGACTAGCCATTAGTAGAAGTCAGTTCTCCTAATAAGCTTCTTGTTACTCATATGGACGCTCACCAGAAAGACCCCAACGTGGGGGTGGGGAACATCACAAACGGGTGGACTGTGCTCATCAACCACATAGGGAGACTGAAGTGTCCTTTACCCCAGAGCAAGCAGACACGCCTCTAGGATCCACAAGAGAATGGCCGTTGGGAATTCAGTGTAGGGAAGGAAAAATTCTTTCTCTACCCTTCAAGGTCTTCTAGCTGGACTAAATTAAATCTACGTGAGACAGAGTAATATGGAAAAAAAAAAACCAGTGTCATTATGTGAGCACAGAGGCCCAGTAATGAAATTGAGACCTAAAGAAATAAATGACCAAAACAGGCAGTTTTTATACTTTTTAGACAAAGAGACAATAAATTTATGAGGAATTGACAGGATAAAGAAAACAGGTGTTTGGGAGCTTTTTTTTTTTTTTAAGATTTTTATTTATTTGACAGAGAGAGAGCGCGAGAAAGGGAACACAAACAGGGGGAGTGGGAGAGGGAGAAGCAGGCCTCCCGCCGAGCAGGGAGCCCGATGTGGGACTCGATCCTAGGACCCTGGGATCATGACCTGAGCCGAAGGCAGACGCTTAACAACTGAGCCACCCAGGCGCCCCTAGGCTGATTGTTTTTAAGAAACCGAAGACTCAGGAAGTTTTTCTTTTTACTTCTCTCTTTTTACCTTTACCACTGCCTGAAAGAATTTCGATAGAGGGCCTCTTCCTGGAAACGAGCTACTATCCTAGATAATGACAGTATAATGTGACCTCAGGTGTGGTAGACAGGGAGAAACCTAGCAAAGTCTGTGTGTTAAAATTCCTCTCTGCGCCTTGTTGTTTCTTTATGGCCCAGCAAATATCTGTTTCCCAAACATTTATTTTTCATCTTCCTGTGAATGACTCGCCTGCCCTTTGAAGTCTCAGACCCCTCCCCACTTCTCAGTTCAGGATGGCATACATAACTTCATTTTGCCTGTCTTTGGAATGTCTTATGTTTATGGGGATTCCCCACAGGTATATAATTAAATTTGTTTTTCTCCTATTATTCTGTCTTGTGTCATTTTAATTATTCAGCCAACCCACCAAAAGAACTAAGAGGGGAAGGGGGAAATTTTCCCTTCTCTGACAACCTTACCCCTGTTGGGATGGCTACTATCAAAAAGACAGGAGATAACAGGCGTTGGCGAGGATGTGGGGAAAAGGGAAGCCTCGTGCACTGTTGGTGGGAATGTAAATTGGTGCAGCCACTGTGGAAAAACAGTGTGGAAGTTCCTCAACATTAAAAATAGAATTACTGGGGCACCTGGGTGGCTCAGTTGGTTTAGCAACTGCCTTCAGCTCAGGTCATGATCCTGGAGTCCTGGGATTGAGTCCTCCATCGGGCTCCCTGCTCAGCAGGGAGTCTGTTTCTCCCTCTGACCCTTCCCCCTCTCATGTGCTCTCTCTCTCTCTCTCTCATTCTCTCTCTCTCAGATAAAAAAATAAAATCTTTAAAAAAATTGAATTACTATATGATCTAACAATCCCACTTCTGGGTATATATCTGAAGGAAAGGAAATCAGAATCTTGAAGAGATATTTGCACTCCCATGTTCATTGCAGCATTATTCAAATTATTCACGGTAGCAAAACATGGGAACAACCTAAGGGTCTATAGATGGGTGAACAGATAAAGAAATATATATAAAATGTGGGAGAGGTACATAATGTGAGATAGATATATATATATATATATATATCTGCTGTCATTTTTGGCAACATGGATTAAACCAGAGGGCATTTTGCTAAGGGCAATAAGCCAGACAGAGAAAGCTAAATACTGTATGATCTCATTCATACATGGAATCAAAAAAAATTAAGTCAAACTCATAGAAACAGAGAGTTGAACGGTCATTGCCAGGGGCTGGGGCTGGAGGAAATCAGATGTTGGTCAAAAGATAAGTTCTGGGGAGCTAATGTTTGGTGTGGTGACCACAGTTAATAATACTGTATTGTGTACTTGACATTTGCTAAGAGAGTCTATCTTTTTCTCTTTTTTTCAAGTTTCAGATATTTATTAATGATTTCATGTATTTAGAGGGGAACGATTTCCTGGATAACTGGAAAGTTGTGCAGGTGGCTTCTGGAAGACCTTCATTTTAAGCAGCTTTATGGTGAAACGTTTCATTTAGAAGTCTGGACCTTCTTCAGTTTGCTGCAATCTCCGTTCACTGAGTAGAACTGGTATTGATTCTTGGGACCCAGTTTGTTCCAGGGTTCTGGATTGAACAAATTCCAGGCACAAGACGTAGAACGCTGCCAGTACCTCTGGCCCCACGACATACGAAGGGGGCACCCAGCTTGGCTGCTTCTTGGAACGTCTCAGAAGATCTGGCAGAACGTGGTGGCGGCAGAAGCCTAGAGTCTGGAAGGAGAGAACAGATCTGCAAGGAAGAGATTCTGCTAAGAGAACAGATCTTCAGCCTTCTCTCTACACACAGAAAAGGTAACTGTGAGTTGAGGGATGTGTTAGAATTACCTTAATTGTGGTCATTTCACAATGTGTACGTATATCGAATTGGATTGTGCACTTTAAGTGTATACAACTTTATTTGTCAATTAAAAATAAAGCTGGGAAAAAATTACAAATAAACTGTCAAGTAGATCCATTGATGGATGGTTCTGTTGAGTTCAGCTATCCTTACTGATTTTCTGCCTACTGGATCTGTCAGTTACTAATAGAGGGAGTGTCAAAATCCCTCACATTAATAGTGGGTTATCTATTTCTCTGTGCATTTTTATCAGTTCTTGCCTCTTGTATTGTGACGCTTCGTTGTAAAGTGCATATATTTCAAAGATCATTGTGTCTTCTCAGAGAATTGACCCCCCCCTTATTATGTAATACCCTCTTTATTCCTGGGAAGTTTCCTTGTTCAAATGCCTTTTTTGTCTGAAATTAATCTCACTACTCCAGCTTTCGTTTGATTAGTGTCCGCGGTACCCCCCTCCCCTCTCTTTTACTCTTAATATATGTGTGTTTTTATATTCAAATGGGGTTTCTTGTAGACAACATATAGTCTGGTCTTGTTTATCATCCACCCTTACAGTCTCTTCTCTTAATTGGCGTATTTAGACCACTCCCATTTAAAGTGATTGTTGATATAGTTGGATTTGTACCTACCATGTTTGTCAAAATTTTGTATTTGTTGCACTTGTTCTTTGTTTTTTTCTTAATCTTCCTGTTTCTGCCTTCTCTTTTAATTGAGCATTTTTTATTATTCCATTTTCTCTTCTCTCTCAGCGTATCAGTTATATTTCTTTTTAACTTTTTAGTGGTTTCCCTAGACCTAGACTGTGCAACATAAATTTACAACTACTCTAGGTCCACCTTCAAACAGCACTGCGCCACTGTATGGGCAGTGTGGCTGTAACAGAGAATCCCCAGCTCCCCACTCCCGCCCCCCTCATAACACTGCTACCGTTTCTTGCACTGACCTACGCGCTATGATCACCCGTACATTGTGGCTGTTATTCCTTTGAACAGTCGTCCTTTAGATTAAATAAGGAAAATAAAATACTGTATTTTAATCTTCATTTATTCCTTCTCTGACACCTCTCCTTTATTTATGTAGATCCAGATTTCTGACCAATACCATGTTCCTTCTCTCTGAAGAGCATCTTTTAACATTGACTGGTGACAAAAATTCTCTCAGTTCTGTAAGTCTGAGTGTTAACGGATTGAATTGTGTCCCCCTGCAAAATTCATCTGTCAAAGCCCTAACTCCCAACATGACTGTATTTGGAGAGGGCCTTTAGAAAGGTCATTAATGTCCCCTGTGGCTATAAGGGTGGGGCCTTACTGCAATTTGACTGGTGTCCTTGTAGGAAGAGCAAGAGACACCAGGGATGCGCGCGCGCACACAGAAGGGTAAGGCCATGCGTGAAAATGGCTGTCTCCAAGCCGAGCAGAGAGGCCTCCCAAAAGGCAACACTAAAGCACCGTGATCTTTGACTTTCAGTCTCCCGAACTGTGAGAAAATCATTTTTTTGTTGTTTAAGTCACCCCGTTTGTGGTATTTTGTTATGACAGCCCTAGGAAACTACTACACCAAGAAAGTCATTATTTTCCCTTACTTCTGAAGGATGATTTTTCTGGATATAGATTCGGTTGGTGGGTTTTTTCTTTTAACACTTTAAATATTTCATTCTACTCTCTTCTTGCTTGCATGATTTTTGAAGCAAGTCTGATGTAATTCTTCCCTTTGTTCCTCTCTAAATAAGGTGTTTTTCTTCTCTGACTTTTTAAAAGATTTTTTCTTTGTCTTTGGCTTTATGCAGTTTGAATATGATATGCCTAGGGGTGTGTGTGTGTGGGTGTGTAGATAGATATATATATATGTATATTGGCATTTATCCTGCTCGGTGTTCTCTGAGATTCCTAGATTTGTGGTGTGGTTTCTGTCATTAATTTTAGAAAAATCTCAGCCATTATTACGTCAAATAGTTCCTGTTTCTTTCTTTCTTCTGCTTTCGATAGTCTCATGATATATATGCTATACCTTTTGTAATTGCCCCACAGTTATTAGATATTCTGTCCCAATTTTTATTATTTTTTTTCTATTTCAGTTCAGTTTGGGAAGTTTCTGTTGACGGATCTTCAAGTGCTCTGATTCTATCTCCAGCCCTTTCCAATCATCTGATGAGTCCATCAGATGATGTATACTTGATTTCTGTTACAGTGGTTTCTTTTTCTAGTCTTTCCTTTATATTCTTTCTTAGGGTTTCTATCTCTATTTACATTACCTGTCTGTTCTTGCATGTTGTCCACTTTTCCCACGAAAGCCCTCAGCATATTAATCATACTTATTTTTAATTTCCCTGTCTGGTGATTTCAAAATCTCTGCCATATCTGAATCTGGTTCTGACACCTGCTTTGTCTCTTCAGATTGTTTCTTCTTTCCTTTTATCATGCCATGTAGTTTTTTGTTGTTGTTGTTGGAAGCCAGTCGTGAGTTATCAGGTATTACGATTACAGTAAGTAGGCCTTTAGTATGATGTTTATTTTTGTCTAAGAGATAGGCTGTATTTACTGTTTTCTGTCTCTGTAGTATCAGAGGATTCAGTTTCCACTAGTGTCTTTGTTTTTGTCCCCCAGCATCTTTTGTTTCCCTAGCAAACACTTCTTCCATAGAATTTGAGCCTTGCAGTTCTCGGCTGTAATCTGTAATCCACTATTGTGAGCCAGGAGCCCTGTTGATGTTTGGTCAGGTCTGGACTGAAGGCACGCATTCTGTAATCCTGGGATTAGGTCTCAGTCTTTTAGTGTACCTGTCCCCCTGGGCTGGGACCTTCTCAGGTGTTTCTCTGTTTTTCCCCCCACCTTATGTGAAGAGAGAAGGCTCAGGGGGCCTGGAGTTTGCTCATTTCCCTTACCCTGAGTCCAGTAAGGCTTCTCCCTTGCTGGGTAAGCCTTTGTTGTGGAGAATACTCTTGGCTTCTTTCAAAATAGTTCTTTCTTGCCTCTCCCTGGCCCAACAGGAAGCAATTTGCTCTCCTCGGTTATCAAGAAAAGCTGTTGAGGATTCTAGGGGCAAACACCATGATTGTGGAGGGGGTGGCTACCTTAGGTGGGGCCCCCAGGAGTTTCATCTCTCAAGCTAGTCCACAGCTCGCTGAAGCTGCCGTTCAAGTCCTGGTTCAAGTCCTGGTTGCACTCACCAGCACTTCCTGTCTCAGGGGTGAGGAGTTGTAGTCCCTGCAATCTGTCATCTCTGTCATCGCTGGTTCCTCTAGGTTCGGGGTGCAGCTGGTCCCATGACCTCAGTACTCTGATGTCTCCACAGAGTCATTGATTTTTAATCTGTTCATATTTTTTCTTGTTGTGAAGATGGGAGTCAAGACTTGTAACAAGCCCTTTAGGTGTTAGAGTAGAATCTTTCCTTTTAGATTTTAGACGTTGTTTCCGTTAGCTCTTTGGACATATTAAAATAGCTGATGAAAGGCTTTATCTAGTAATTCCAATGCCTGTGCTTCCTTGGGACAGTTCTATTGATTGCTCTCCCCTCCATACATGGGCCATCCTTTCTTGATTCTTCATGTGCCTCATAAAATTTTATTTAAAACTGGACATTTTTGAATATCGTCATGTGGCAACTCTGGGAATGAGATTCCCTTCCTGCCGGGCTTCGTTGTGGCTGCCTGTTGCAGTTCATGTTTATTTAGGACTTCTCTGAATTAATTCCACAAAGACTGTCTTCGTTGTTGTATATAGCCATTGAAGTCTTAGCTCAGTGAGCTCAGTGGTCGGCTGATGGTGGACAGAGATTTCACTGAATGCCTGGAACAAATAAATCTCGCCCTCGTTTCCGAGAGGTTCAGTGTGTGCACTGCTTTCAGCATTCAATCAAACAGTTTACAGCTCTGAATTAACCTTCACTAGCCTCAAGGCCAGCCAGAGTTGAGAAGTTACAGGGCCTTCTCACACTTTTCCGGAGCATGTACAGTGTCCTAAGCATGTACTTGACCTTCTAGATTCCCAGGAATATGTCAGAACTTTTCAAAGCTCCAGTGGACATGTAGTTGCTCAGCCGATTCTTTTCAGTTTTTTGGTTAGTGTGTTACTTCCCTCAAGTGTTATCTAATGCCTTAGGCATCCCCCCCCACACACACACACAAAAACCCCACTTTCCAATGAATGTTTTTGGCCAGTGCCGTCAAGAAGAGAGCACTAGACGAGCTCTTAGTTCAAATAAAGACGAGTCTTTGGAGGAGGGTCTTCCAGTGACCCGTGAGGTTAAATAATTAATATTTGGGGAGGATGAGGCTTTCAAAGAGGACCACTCTGCTCCCTCCTGTACTACAAACTTGGGCTGTTGTTTTTCAAGGCTTCCACAGAGCTGTGGAGTGGTAGATGGGACTAGGGTAATTTAAAATACCATAAAGTCTGCTGTTCTTGTTGACATTCAGCTGTTTTTTCTTGAATAAACACTCCTAGGTTGGGAGCGTAAAGTAGGGCAGATGTTTTGGAAACCGCTTTTCCAGTAACTCAAACAGTTAAACATAGAGTTAGCATATGACCCAGCGATTCAGCGCCTGGGTATATACCCCAAGAGCATGGAAACCATATGTTTACACAAAAATTTTGTGAATATACTCAAAACCACTGAATTACGCACTTTAAAATATGTGAAATATCTCGATATAAGTAAGAACTGAAGTTCTGAGATATGGAGGAACCTTGGAAACATGATGCTAAGTGAAAGAAGCCACACAGAGAAGGCCATATATTTTATGATTTCATTTACTAGGAATGTCCGGAATATTGAAGCCCATTGACAGAAAGTATATTAGTGGTTACCGGCGGCTGGGGAATGGGGAATGGTGAGTGACTGCTGGTGGGTATGAAGTTTCTTTTAGGGGTGAGGAAAATGTTCTGGAATTAGATAGTGAGGACTGAGGCAAGAATTCGCAAATATACTAGAGACCACTGAATTGTACATTTTAACAGGGTGAACATCATGGTATATGCATTGTCTCTTAATAGCAATGTTATTTTACAAAAGAAAAAATAATGCTGTGGAGAGCGTAAATCCCTCCATGTATTCAAAAAATACCAATGGACCGGCCACCATTTGATATTTCTAGGGACTAAGGACCAACAATTGAACACAAATTCTTTCCCTTGTAGGCCATATACTCTGGTATTAGATGAAAAGCAATACGGTAGCTTTTCATAATAATATCTCTGAAAATATCTTAAGAAGATAAGCACACTTGAGACTATCAAATAATTTGTTTTCCGGCTTCCTAATTGCCCTTCATGTATGATCTAGTCTGTTGTTTCTGCTCATTAGGGTCCCAAAAGCAACAAGCAAACTTTTCTCAAAACAAACACAATGATGAAGCTTTACTCAGAATTGCCAAAACGTCGAAGGAACCAAGATGTCCTTCAGTAGGTGAATGGATGAATAAGCTGTGGTACATGCAGACAGTGAAATATTATTTAGCATTAAAAAGAAATGAGCTATTAAACCATGAAAAGACATGGAAGAACCTAAAATGCATTATTACTAAGTGAAAGAAGCCAACTTGAAAAGGCTCCATCCTGTAGGATTCCAACCATAGGATATTCTGGAAAAGACAAAATTATGGAGATGTAAAAAGATCAGTGGTTGCCAAGGGTTGGGGGTCATCCGGGGAGGGTGAG